CTGCTGGTGGTGCCATGCTCAAGGTGCAAACATTGGGGGGACCGGTCCTTTTCTGTTGCAGGCCCAACAGCCTGGAATACTCTTCCCTATGAGCTGCGTGCCATTTCTGATCTGGTTCTGTTCAAAGCCAAACTGAAAACATACTTATTTAAAAGGGCTTTTAATGTTTAACTATTAGTATTTTAGTATTTAGTATTTATTTATTATTATTATTATTATTTGTCGCTGTTGTCCATTGTTGTCATCTTTCTTTGTTGAAATCAGGTCTCTCTTGTAAATGAGTCCTCGAGGCTCAATGGGATTTACCTGTCTAAATAAAGGTTGATTGATTTATTTATTTTATCTCTTTTACCTTCTTTTATTCTGGCTGTGTTTTAATTTGCACTGATTTATTGTGTCCTGTTTTTAATCTTGTTTTATCTCGTAAAGCAACTTGCAAGGCATTGATGGAAGGTGCTATAGAAATAAAGTTTATTATTATTATTGTGATTATCCACAAAGTCCATGGTGTTCTATGTGTGGTGTTCTGAGCTGCCAACTAAAGGGATGAGTACAGACGCCAGATATTTTTCATTCATTCAACCTTTATGTAGACAGGTAATCCCATTGAGCCTGGAGGACTCATTTATAAGAGAGACATGATCTCAACAAAGAAATATGACAACAATGGACAACAGCAACAACAATAAACAATTATAAAAAGTCATACTGCAGTTTTTTTATATTTGGAAACATTGTAAGTGGCAGAGTTACTGTTACAGAGTTACTACAGAGTGGCAGACCCAAACGTATTGTGAGGGTCTGCTGGGAACGTCTGGCAGAGTCTCTTGTGAGACGGAGCTTTAACTCCTACCTCCGGGAGAGCTTGGAACACGTTCCAGGGGAGGCAGGGGACATTGAGTCCGAGTGAGCCATGCTCTGTGCCTCTATTGTTGAGGCGGCTTATCGGAGCTGTGGCCGCAAGGTTGTCGGTGCCTGTCGTGGCGGTAACCCTCGAACCCGGTGGTGGACACCGGCGGTTAGGGATGCTGTCAGGCTGAAGAAGGAGTCCTATTGAGCCTTTTTGGCCTGTGGGACCCCGGAAGCAACTGTTGGGTACTGGCAGTCCAAGCAGCTTGCGGCTCGTGTGGTCGCTGAGGCAAAAACTTGGGCGTGGGAGGAGTTCGGACTGGTTATGGAAAATGACTTCCGTACGGCTTCGGGGCGATTCTGGTCCACCATCTGGCGACTTGGGGTGGGGGAGCGGTACAACACCAACACTGTTTATAGTGGAGGTGGTGTGCTGCTGACCTCAACTCGGGATGTCGTGGGTCGGTGGGCAGAATACTTTGAAGACTTCCTCAATTCCACTGGCATGTCTTCCACTGAGGAAGCGGAGTCTGGGGACTTTGGGTCGGGCAGCTGTGGCTGAGTGGTTGGAGCAGTCGTCCTCCAATGCAAGAGTTGGGGGTTCGAATCCAACTGCAGTAACATGCCGAAGTGTCCCTGGGCAAGACTGAACCCCTCGTTGCCTCTGATGTGTGTCCCATCGGTGTATGAATGTGATAAAAGCTCTGATTAGTCTGTTTAGAATGATTTGTTCAATTAGCTTTGTAGAGATCTAGTAAAGTGCTGTGTGGATGGGTAAATGAGGACACAGATTGTAGTGTAAAGTTCTTTGAGTATCTTGATAAGATAGAAAGGCGCTATTTAAGTACAGTCCATTTGCCATTAATCTCTGGTGCTGAGGTCACTGAGGTGGTTAAAAAGCTCCTTGGTGGCAGGGCACCAGGAATGGATGAGATTTGCCTGGATTTCCTTAAGGCTCTGGATGTTGTGGGGTTGTGTTGGCTTACACGACTCTGCAATATTTCGTGGACATTGAGGGAAGTTCCCCTGGATTGGCAGACTAGGGTGGTGGTCCCCCTATTCAAAAAGGGGGACCGTAGAGTGTGTTCCAACTACAGGGGGTTAACGCTCTTAAGCCTCCCTGGTAAGGTCTATTCGGGGGTTCTGGAGAGGAGGGTCCGTCGGATAGTCAAACCTCTGATTCAGGAGGAGCAGTGCGGTTTTCGTCCTGGTTGTGGAACACTGGACCAGCTCTACACCCGCATCAGGGTCCTGGAGGGTGCGTGGAATTTGCCCAACCAGTCTACATGTGCTTTGCGGACTTGGAGAAGGTGTTAGACCGTGTCCCTCGGGGAGCCCTGTGGGGGGTACTCTGGGAGTATGGGGTACCAGGCCCTTTGATACAGGCTGTTAGGTCCCTGTACGACCGGTGTCAGAGCTTGGTCCGCATTGCCGGCAGTAAGTCAGGCTCGTTCCCGGTGAGAGTTGGACTCCCCCAAGGTTGCCCTTTGTCACCGATTCTGTTCATAACTTTTATGGACAGAATTTCTAGGTGTAGCCAAGGTGTTGAGGGGATCTGTTTTGGTGGCCTTAGGATCGCTTCTCTGTTTTTTGCAAATGATGTGGTCCTATTGGCTTCATCAGGTCGTGATCTACAGCTTTCGCTGGTGCGGTGTGCAGCTGAGTGTGACATGGCTGGGATGAGTATCAGTTCCATCAGTTCCTCCAAATCCGAGGCCATGGTCTTGATTCAGAAAATGGTAGAGTGCCCTCTCCTGGTCGGGGAGGGGTCCTGCCCCAAGTGGAGGAGTTCAAGTATTTCGGGGTCTTGTTCACTAAAAATGGAGCGTGAAATCGATAGGCGGATAGGTGCAGCATCAGCAGTAAAGCGGGTGCTGTACCGGTCTCTCGTGGTGAAGAGAGAGCTGAGTCAAAAGGCAAGGCTCTCAATTTACCCATCGATCTACGTTCCTACCCTCATCTATGGTCACGAGCTTTGGGTTGTGACTGAAAGAATGAGATCTCGGATACAAGCGACCGAAATGAGTTTTCTCTGCAGCGTGTCTGGGCTCTCCCTTAGAGATAGGGTGAGAAGCTCGATCATCTGGGAGGGACTCAGAGTAGAGCCGTTGCTTCTCCACATCGAGAGGAGCCAGTTGAGGTGGCTTGGGCATCTGTTTAGGATGCCTTCTGGACACCTCCCTGGTGAGGTGTTCCGGACACGTCCCGCCGGAAGGAGGCCCAGAGGAAGACCCAGGACATGCTGGAGGGACTATGTTTCTCGGCTGGCCTGGGAACGCCTTGGGATTCCCCCAGAAGAGCTGGCCCAAGTGGCTAGGGAGAGGGAAGTCTGGGCCTCCCTACTTAGGCTGCTACCCCCCGCGACCCGACCCCGGATAAGCGGAAGAAAATGGATGGATGGATTTGTACTTTAATGTGTAACGTAATTTTATTTTTCTTAGAATTAATATTAATTATAAAATTGGTACCCAAAAAGACCATTCAGAAACCGATACTGAAGTGAAGGTATCTGTACCGATACCACATTTTTTTGAAAGGTACCCAGCCCTAAACCTGGGGTTATTTTTATTCTCATCAATTAAAGACAAATAATATAAAGGTCTAGTTTTACAGAGCACTTTTTTATACGTTAGCAGGCTATCTCTCCAAGATAAGTAAAATTCTTCAGCGTTAGTGTAGTGCCATTTTCTTTCCAGCTTTCCAGATTTCTGTTTTAAAGTTTGAATTAATGAAGATTGAGTTTGTAAAAATTCATACTTGGTTTAAATTAAATAAATTATCACTTAATCTAGAAAAAACAAATTATATGATATTTAGTAAAAAAAAGCCATCTATAGAATTTCCTTTTGAAATTGATGGTGTTGTGATAGAAAGAGTGAGTGAAGTAAAGTTTCTGGGAGTGATTATAGATGATACATTGACATGGAAAAAACATATTAATTTTGTAAGAACTAAAATTTCCAGGTCCATAGCAACGCTACATAAAGTACGAGAATGTCTGACTGATAAAGCATCGTGTCACTGTACCATACAATTGTAGTGCCACATTTGATTTATTGTGTTGCTATCTGGGGTACAGCTTGTAAAACTGCAACCAAGTCTATTTTTATTTTACAAAAAAGAGTTAGAAGAGTTATCGCAAAAAAGCATTATCGCCATCCTTCAAGTATTTTGTTTTATCAACTGATATTCTTAAGTTTTATGATTTGGTGGATTACAATATTCTATTATTTATGTACAAGGCTCAGAACCAAAATTTACCATCAAACATACAAGTGTATTTCGTTAAAAGGAATAGTTGTTATAATTTAAAGGGAACAGATATTTTTGTAAAGATGAAATATAGAACAAGTTTTAAGGGTAGATCCATTTTGATCAAGGGAATTAGTTTATGGAATGGTTTGGATAATGATATCAAAAAGGAGACTTCATTAGCTGTATTAAAAAAAAAGATTAAGAATGTATTGATGATGAAATATATTTAAGTTGGATAATGATATGGAATTATAATGAATTGGATAAGTTTTTTGGTTGGTTGTATTATGTATTGTTTGAATAGATTGTTTTGAATTGATATTGTTTAGAAGGGGCAGAAATGATAAGAATTCGTTCTTCTTCTGCTGCCTTTCATTTTATATGTATCTTATTTTATTTGTATGGAATAAGTCTTGTTTTAACTGAAATGAAATTAATGAATGAATAAATAAATAAATAAAGTACATAACTCAGAATTGAACCAAGGAGCCAGTCTCCTCTGATTGATTACTTTCTTTTTCAGTGGAGCAGCTTTTTTGAGTGAAGTTTGCAAAATAGTTATAAAATTATCAACTAGACTATCTAAGTCACTGCTCTTTGATGCATTACTCTGCAAGACAGAGAAAAATGATGGAAGATAAAACTTGGTTACAGCATTTTGAGATAAGCACCTGCTATGGTGAAATTTACTCTGTGACTATGTAGTCATTCAATTTAAACTCAAAGGTTATTAAAAATGGTCGGACAGAACTTGTTAACTTGACAGTCAGACAGTAACTTATTTGTCATAGAATACCACACATTAGTGGACATAGGAAGTTATTTTCAAAGTCACACACATCAGTGTATTTTACTTCCTGTTCTTCCTTCATCTGTTTGCAGTTAGGAGTGGATGGTTTAATGGTTACTAACACCACCATTTCCAGACCAGAAACTCTTCAAGACCCTCATAAGTCTGAGACTGGTGGGCTAAGTGGCCAACCTCTGAAAGACCTTTCCACTAAGACTGTCAGAGAAATGTACAGCCTCACCAAAGGTTCTTAGCTGTTTTTTAATCATCAAAGAAAATTTCTTTTTTTTTTCTTGTTATTCTGTACAAAGGAAAGAACCATGTTGCACTTTTGTTTTATTCGTAGGTAAAGTGCCAATTGTTGGGATTGGAGGTGTGGCAAGTGGACAGGATGCGATGGATAAGATCCGTGCTGGTGCTTCGTTGGTTCAACTCTACACAGCTTTGACCTATCAAGGTCCACCGGTGGTGACGAAGGTCAAAAGAGAACTGGAGCAACTTCTTAGGTGAGTATGATCAAAAGTAGGGCTGCAACTAACGATTATTTCAATAATCGATTCATTGGTTGATTATTTTTTTGATTAATCGATGAATCTGCAAAAAAAATAAAATAAATGTTTTAATTTCCACCCCTTTATTCCAAAATTGAAAATTTGACTGACATAGCAATTCACACAAAAAACAGGTTGCTATTTGACTATTCTGTTAGTAAAATATTGAATAATAAAAATAAAAGTTAGTCAACTAGCTTAAAAAAAAATAAATGTACACAAAATATATACAAATGTATCTTTATACCTGCACAATATGTAGCTACTTTGTAAAATGTGTCCTTGAGGGAAAAGTGTAACCTGGATTAAAAGTGTGGATTATTGTAGTGAAGCCTTCGTCTTCAACCATGGACAGAGGCCTCATGTCAGTGACGATCATGTTCAGGATGTTTCAGTGAAGACAGCTGCTGCTGTGGTGTCCATGATGTCTGTCCATCATGAAGCTGTCATTGTTTGTTGTTATTTTCTGGAATGAGACAGTAAATATGTATTATATCATAATTTACAGCAACTCAAGAAATGCCTTGTTTCACTTACAGTGTTAGGTTCAGGCAAAAGTAGCTAAAAGAGCAATTAAACACACACACACACACATAATACTTAATTACACACATTTGAGTAGATGTAATAAATTACTTTAATTCCTGTTTAAATGCAATTCATCCTGCCATACCTGCAGTGTCTTCAGACTTTGCCAACAAATTAAAAGTTGAAGCTTAATCATTAAATTATTATCTTTGTGTTAGATTTATTTATAAATCACATTTAAACACTGCTTGTACCAATTAAATTAAATAAAAAGTAACGCACACGTTCTCTATCACGTCATTAATCAGATAAACAAACAAACAAACAAACAAACAAGCAGCTTCATCTACCAGACAGACTGACGTTACGTTTTCTCTCTTGAAACAGAACAATGTGTTAAACTATAGAGACTCACCTGCAACATGAGTTGGGAGTGAGACAAGTTGTATCTGCTGCAGCTCCTTCCTCCTCCTCGTGACTCCGACATGTTTACGTTTCATCTCCGTGGTTCTCTCGTGTCGTGTCGTCAATTTTCAAAGCGGCATGCTTCTCATCTTTTATCTTTGTGAAGAGCTCCCACACTTTGGAGGACTTGGGTTGAACAGTTTTTGCTGCATTGGTAAAATTTCCTTAATTTCCTTTGAAAACAGCCTCTGCTCTGCTTCCACCTCCCCCCTCGCTCTGTTCAACTCGTGCTGCAGAGTTGTTGTTGTTGTTTTTTTTTTTTCCCAAACTTTATTCAGTCAGTCAGCATTGACAATGAACTGCCCGTGAACAAAACGGCTCTGCAGCGCAATGAAAGACGCACAATCGCGCGACACAACAAATCGATAATGAAATTCGTTGCCAACGCTTTTAATCATCGATTTTTATCGATTTTTATCGATTTTATCGATTCGTTGTTGCAGCCCTAATCAAAAGTGAAGATTATCATATAGTGCTGATATGTGATCATGACACAGACATGATCATGAACTGGTCATGACCCACATCAAAACAACCATCTACGTCAACGAGGACCCTCACCAGTACGCATACCGCAAGAATTGATCAACAGAGGATGCCATCTCCTCTGTGGTCCACACTGCTCTCACCCACCTGGAGCAGAAGGACTCTTACGTCCGTATGTTCTTTATGGACTTCACGTCTGCCTTCAACACCATTATCCCCCAGACCCTGATGGACAAACTACTCACACTAGGACTAAGCCCCTCCATTTGCAACTGGGTCCTGGACTTCTTAAAAAATCTACCACAATCAGTGAGGATCCACAACTTCTCCTCTTCCACCATAACCCTCAGCACTAGCTCCCCTCAGGGATGTGTGCTGAGCCCTCTCCTGTTCACTCTGCTAACGTATGATTGTGCAGCTACCCATCCAGGCTGTCACATTGTAAAGTTTGCAGATGATACAGCGGTGGTGGGATGCATCACAAACAATGATGAGTCCAGCTACAGGCAGGAGGTGGAACACCTGGAGAGCTGGTGCATGAAGAACAACCTTCACATCAATGTGAAGAAGCCAAAGGGGATGATTGTAGACTTCAGAAGGAACAAACACACCTACACCCCCCCAACATAAGAGGATCTGTGGTGGAAGTGGTCTCCAGCTACAAGTACTTGGGTGTACACCTGAACAACAACCTCAGCTGGAGCAACAACACCACCAGCCTGATCAAGAGAGCCTCATCAGAAACTCTACTTCCTCAGACGGCTGAGACGAGCTGGTCTGGGAAGCTCAGTCCTCACCTCCTTCTACAGGTGTGCAGTGGAGAGCATCCTGTGCTCCAGCATCAACGTGTGGCATGGAGGCTGCACAGCTGCAGAAAGAAAAGCTTTGCAGAGAGTGGTGAAGGCTGCACAGAAGATGTTGGAGTCAGTCTCCCCACCATCACAGACATCTACACCTCCAGATGCAGGAAGAGGGCCACCTGCATCATGAAGGACCCCACTCACCCAGCACACACACTTTTTTGCCCCGCTCCCCTCAGGAAGGAGGTTGAGGAGCATTAAGTGTAGAACCACTAGACTGAGGAACAGCTTCTACCCTGAGGCTGTTAGACTCATGAATCTCTAACCAGGACAATCACTGTGAAAAATCACATCATGTTGCTGCTGATCTGTATCATGTTGCTGCTGATCTGTTTCATGCTGCTGCTGATCTGTTTCATGCTGCTGCTGATCTGTTTTATGTTGCTGCTGATCTGTTTCATGCTGCTGCTGATCTGTTTCATGTTGCTGCTGATCTGTTTCATGCTGCTGTGTTCATGCTTGACTTCCGGTAAGGTGGCGCCCGTGTACCTGGCTTGCAATCCACCTCTGCTGATGGTGTTCGGATTATTTTTGTTTTTTGCATTTCACATCTGTGACATCAACTCTCTGCTGGTGTATGACAGACAACAACTTTTGGATCTTTGTTTTTCTGGCACTCAAGTCGCTTATTTGGACCATTATCAGCGTACCTCTGGACCCCCCCCCCCTGCTGGCGGACGTGCCAGCTTACCTTCGCTGTGTTCCTCACCTCCCTGCCCGGAGATCTCGCTTCAGACGCCGGGGAAAACGTGCTGGTCAGCTGTTGAAGCTGAAAGCTCTGCGCGCTACATCTTCCTCAACTGTGTGCCCGGACCAGGTAACCAGCGGGAGTTGTCAGCCGGTGCACAGCTCGGACTGACCTGGAGGGGCTGCTATTGAAAACCTGCGGCCATTAGCGCGCGCTAACTCCACCGCTGCTGGCTCCACTTTGGACAATATCCGGATGTGTTTGGTCAACGCAAGATCTGTTACCAACAAAACTTTTATCCTCAGGGATTACTTTCAAGAGCACGATTTGGACTTTCTGTGTATCACAGAGACTTGGATGTCTCCGGGTGAGTCCAGCGCCTTGACGGAATTACTGCCACCGAACTGTCTGTGTTTTAACGCCCCGCGGCCATCAGGCCGGCGCGGTGGTGGATTATTAACAATATTCAAAACAACTTTTGACTGTAAACAACTGCCCAGCCCAGTTTCCCGTGCCAGCTTTGAGCTGAGCATCTTTGAACTCGGACATTCACCTCAGACTTTATTTGCACTTGTCTACCGTCCACCTCGATCTAAGGATTTCATAAATGAGTTTTCTGACTTCTTGGCTGAAATCACACCAAAATATGAGCATGTTTTCATTATTGGGGACTTTAATTTGCACGTGTGCTGTCCTGAGAAGCCCTTGGTTAAGGACTTTTTAGATATATTGGACTCATTTAATTTAACTCAGCATGTAAACGGTCCCACCCAAGAGTGTGGACATACACTGGACCTTGTTTTAACTCGTGATGTGACTGTTAATAATCTTGTTATTGGTGATAATGTTTTTTCAGACCACATGCCAGTCCGGTTTGAGTTCACCCTCCCCCATCTAACTCCTAAGCCGTGCATTCCTGAACATAGGACCCAGACCATTAACCACTTCACTGCCGCACGTTTCACAGATGTTTATAACTCTGAAATGATCATTCATCCCCCAGTGTTTCTCACCACCACTGAGGAGCTGACATCCCAGTTCAACTCTGTCTGCTTAAAGACTCTGGATCATGTCGCACCTGTTAAAACCAAAAAATCAAAACTCAGAGCAGAACCGTGGCTGAGTGACGTCACCAAGGTCGTTAGGCAGCAATGTAGGAGGGTGGAGCGAAAGTGGAGGAAAGACAGGCTGCAGGTCTCTTTTCAAATACTTAAAGAGAGTTGGCGCCGTTATCAGAAAGCAGTAAAAGCTGCTAAATCCAAATACTTCTCTGATATAATTACCTCAAACTCTCACAACCCACGTGTCCTCTTCTCCACCCTAAACTCTGTTCTCCACCTCACTGAACCATCACCTCTGGAAGCCTCGACTGAGCTGTGCGAGAACTTCTTACTTTTCTTTTTGGAAAAAATTGCGACCACCAGGGCTCCCGTTTCCCCTCCAGCTCATGACCCATCCATCCCACCTCAATCTGTAGCTCCTTTTGACCATTTTGAACCCATCACTCTATCTTCTCTAGTGCAGGTCATGTGCAACTTGAAACCTTCTGGCTCCCCCTTTGATGTGGTCCCCCCTCGACTTCTAAATGAGGTGTTTCCTACTCTAGGTCCGTCCATTCTTGCCATAGTAAACAGTAGTTTATCCACTGGCGTGGTGCCAAAATCCTTTAAACATGCTGCTGTCCAGCTTCTCCTGAAAAAATTAAACCTTGACCCCTCAGTCGTTTCCAACTACCGGCCTGTCTCCAAACTCCCATTTGTTTCTAAAGTACTGGAAAAAATAGTTGAGTCCCAGTTGAAGTGCTTCCTGGAGGATCACGCCATCTTAGAGCTTTTCCAATCTGGCATAAAACATCTCCATAGCATTGAAACTGCTCTGCTGAAGGTCTTCAATGACATTTTCTTAACCACTGATACCAGTGATTCTGT